GCGCGCGTTGTCCCGGTTTGCCCACTTCGTTGGCCTCAGAGAGAGGGTGTGTGTGTGTGGGGGGGGGACACATATCCCCTTTAGCCAATGAGGACGTTCAGAATATTGAAGAGGCGGGGCGCGCAGAAACACATCTCCGGCTCGAAGGCCACGCCTCCTCGTGGGCTGCTCCTTCAAAAAAAAAAAAAAACCACCTGGAAGAGGCTCGCGCGAACGGCACCGCCTTAAGGGCTGGCTCGCTCGTGCGGCAGGAGGATTAAAGGCAATAACATGCAAATCGAGCTCCGAGGTTCTTGAGCGGCGTCGCAAGAGCGCGAGCGGGGAACGTTTCTCTTCGCGTCCCGCTGGCCAAGTTCTGGATCGCGCGCCTCCTTTCCTCGACGCCCGGGGCATGTTTGCGCTGCCTCGGGGGAGCTAAGAGGCGCCGAGCTTGTAGCCCAAGGCCGCCTTTCGGCGCTTCGCTTCGCTGCCATGTCTCCCGTCAGCGAGGAGGTGGAAGGGGGCACCCTTCCCTCCGCTCCGGAAGAAAGTGAGTCGGCGGGCGAGGACGAACCGAAAAGGGAGAACGGAGTATGGTGCCCGCGGGAAGCCTCGCTCGCCTCCGGGGTCGCAGAACTCGACCTGGTGGCTGGGCTCGGGGCCACGCAGAGTCCACCCGAGAAGGCGGCGGAGCAGGGTGAGCCGCCGCCAGTGCACCCGGAGACGGCCGAGCCCCCTGAGGGAGGCTGGGGCTGGGTGGTCATGCTGGCCTCCATGTGGTGCAACGGGACTGTCTTCGGGATCCAGAACTCCTGCGGAATCCTCTTCAAGTCCTTGCTGTCGGAATTCGGAGACCCCCAAGACGAGCAACTGATGTTCAGGACAGGTGAGGGAGGAAAAATGGGCGCCTGGGGCTTCTTCCCTTTCCCAGCTGCCTTTAAAAAGCAGCCAGGCGATGGGTCCGGGGATTCCGGGGGGGAGGGGAGGGGTATCCCGCAAAGCTTTTGAAGGGGGCGTTCTTGAGTACAGCGGAAAGGCGACGAGAGGAAAGAACCGCTTTCCTCCAACTCGGGGATGGAACTTCTTGCAGCCTCACAACTGCAACGCATCCCAAGTTGGAGTGCTGGACTGCAGGGCAGCTAGATACCCGCCTCTTCAGTGGGAGCGATGTGCTGCCAAGGTTGTGTTCCCAAACCCCAGATTTGTGTGGTGTGTGTGTGTGTATACATACATACATACACACTGTGTGTGCGTGTAGGTCTAGGTGTGTTTGGGTCTTTTCCTGTGTAAGATTATCTTGGTGACGTTTCGGCGAGGTCCCACTCGCCATCCTCAGGCTGGTGCTTCCGGCTTCATGTAAGATTAAGATTATCTTGGCGACATTTTGGTGACATATAATGGGCTGTGTGATGGTCTTGTGAGTTTTGTTGTGGAGATAT